AGGACCTGAGGAGAGCTTAGCAGAACGCGGCCATCCAGGCAGCGTGGTACAGTCAGGACCTGAGGAGGGCTTAGCAGAACGCGACCATCCAGGCAGCGTGGTACAGTCAGGACCTGAGGAGAGCTTAGCAGAACGTGGTCATCCAGGCAGCCTGGTACAGTCAGGACCTAAGGAAGGCTTAGCAGAACGTGGCCATTCAGACAGCGTGGTACAGTCAGGACCTGAGGAGGGCTTAGCAGAACGCGACCATCCAGGGAGGGATCAGGGGTGTCACCTTGGACTGCCAGGAGCTCCATGATCATATTGGGAAGCGCGTCCTCTCCTTGCACGGACTGGTACTGAAGAGCTCGCCGGTTCCCACAGTTGTCGCGTGACAGCAGCTTCTCCAGGTCTTGCAGCCTTTCCTTCAGTTTCTTGGCCTGATGGTGTCAACACCAGGTAGCCAAGGGTCAATGAGCAGCACCAGAAGGTTTCAGTGTGGGTACGGTTAGTTACACTAGTCCTAGTAGGTGAGGAGGTTAACATCTCTTTATAAAGGTTTTACTACTAAACATTGATTTATTCACCACTAGCTATTTATTTATTTGGGGGAAGCTGATGCTCTTTACTTCTGCAAGCTATTTGATTTCTTTGGTGCTGCTGGTTCAGTGTGATTTGCCAATAACTGAGGAATCATTACACAATTCAAGTAATGACTGCTGTCAAGGCAGAGCATCAAAGTAAATGCTTCTAAGTATGCAGCATACTAATGACTTATTTTCAGCTTGACATCTACAACACTCCTGTCATTAATGAGACAATTCACTATGAAAAACTGCCATTAATAATGATCGACTATGCTTCTCATTAATGGGCGAGCAGAGATTTCAAAGTAATTAGACACCCTGAATCAAATTCATCCACTATGGCAGTTAAATTAGTCATCAAAGTAATTATGACTTAGTCAAGTAGTGTATTATGATGGGGTTTACACTGCAAAAGACATGTCCTCTATGAAATATGTTGTTGACAACACTACAATAAGTGATTAGCCGCTGTCTCACATGCCTGTAGACCAAATATTAACCTTTTCTGCATGTGTCACAATTTCTCTGCAAGCCCCCCCATGTGACCATCACCTGGTCCCTGACGAGGCTGTAGCAAATGGGACACTCTTCACACTGATGAGTGGCTCTGTTGTGGAAGTAGTTGGGCTCACACTGGTCACACTTGTAGCCCATGAATCCTTCTCGACAGCTGCAGGTCCCGTTGTTGTAGCACTGCATGGTGACTGAGCCCATGGGGTAACAGTTACATGCTGTGCAAAAGAAGTGAAGACAGTATTATTCAGTATGTTCTTCCATCTTTCCCTTTGCCTGACCCATTACAGGGTAATCGTGGCACCCTAGGGCTTCCCTCAGGAGAGCACAGGGCATAAGATAAAAGGCACAATGGGTGAGATGGCAGGGCATCAAAAGGCATACAGTTTCAGTTACAGTTACATTTACAGTTACAGTTACTTGCACACTCTGGGAATTAGATTTATATATTTAGCAGATGCTTCTGTCCAAAGTGAAAAGCCAGTGAGGAAAGCTAGGAGTTGGAGAGTATCCCATCCCCTTGGAGCAAATGGGGTTAGGGTCCTTGTTCAAGGGCATAGCAGAGACTCAAACCCCAGGCCTGGAGGTGTACGGCCCAGTTGCTACTAGCCCAGCCACTCACAATAAATCCGTCCCAAACTGAACATTATACAGCACATTTTACCTGTTTACAGCTGACATAACGAGTGGAGTTTTAACTAAGATGTGGGAATGATGTTTTTACGCATCCCCTAAGAAGTCAGACCTACGCAGGGCGCATAAAAATAGCTGAAAATTTATTCCAGACTAGCATGAGCAGTTAGCAGCATCGGTCCCACTCCACCTCCCCCAGAGCTGCTCAGCTCCCGGGGACCTTATAAAAATGGCAGCGTCGATTTCCTTCAGGCCGAAGAATGAGCTCACTGCAGCTCAGATAAGGATTCCAGCACTGCAGCTACCCTCACCCCAGATCTCTACACTTCAGCCAACTGCATATGAATATATTATTAAGTAGCTCAGTGTTGGACACGATGGTAGGATTATTATTTAGGTGCATAGCAGGCACCCTAATGCAAGGTGAATTCCAATATTTACACTTTACCCTTTTTATAAAACTGAATATTTACCAAAGACTTACTGCAGAATTTTGGTCAAAGCTCTGGACACTGCTTCCAAGGTTATTGTTACGTTTATATGTATTTCCCTCCACCTTGTACCCATGCACATCCCTTTCCTGGCAAGTGACTGAACGTAAGCTTCTTGTACCTCTGCATCCCATCGTGGAGAGCCCGAAGAATCCTGTCCGGCAAGAATCACATGACGGGCCCTCCACCCCAGGCCGACACACGCACTGCCCTGTGATTGGGTGGCATGCTGCAGAGGAAGAACCAGTCGGGCTGCATGTACATCTGGGGACAAACAGACAAAATGAGGCCCGATTGGCTAAAAGAGTAATGCAGGTATGTAGACCAAATGATTCAGGATGTGAAACCTGTGCTGACTGAATGCTCTTTCGCGATGTCATTACTATCAGCTTTCGGTCTTCTAGTCAAGCTTACTCACCGCTCACATCCTATGCCAGGCTTCAGATTGAAGTAACCCATCTGACAGTATGTGCAGTCCCTGCCGCTGACGTGATCCAGACAGAGACACTGGCCCGTGGAGGGGTGGCAGTCCTCGGGGGAGCCAGCAGTGCCCTCGGGGTTACAGCGGCAAGCTGCATGACAGGAGACCACGAGAAATGCGCTGGAGGGATTCATTTCTCTTACCGAATGCCCTCTTTAACAGGAGAGTGACATGGTGCCATCGATCCGCCATAACAACTTATGCAATGTAGTCAAGCCTGGACCCTATACTGTGAAGTACAGGGCATGAGGCATGGGACACGGAGACTAGGATACGTATCCATCCATCCAGGTGATGAAACAGAAAAAGAACTTCTACTTTCACAAAATGTGATCTGAAATTAAAAAATGGGACAAGCTGAAGCCTTTGAGGAGTCTAAACTGCCATTCCAAGCCAATCATGCTAGATACAGTGGACAGGAAATCCAGTAACATCATGATGTGGGAATTTCCATAAGAAGCAAAGAACAGAGATCTATAAAAAGTGTCCACTTGAGTACATAACTCTACCAAGCTTGAAACATAATGTGAGGAATCAGAGCAATACACGGCCAGCAGAAGATCAGTCTACAGACACTAAACACACACCACCATGAAGGATCTCAGCCTACAGACACTAAACACACCACAGTGAAGGAGCTCAGCCTATATACACAAAACATACACCACCGTGAAGGATCTCAGCCTACAGACACTAAACACACACCACCGTGAAGGA